ATGCCAGCTAAATGAATTCCATTATAATTCAAAGACTCAAATTTTTAATATTTCATCATCTATATACATAGCATTGAATCATGGAGAGACACGAAATACTGAATTAAATCATATATGATGTCTAATATCTTACATTTTTGACCAACAAGAATGGTAATTTCATCAATTCAACCTAATACAATACAAATGATGTTGAACAAAATTATGTAGAAAAACAGATCAAGAATAATTATAAAGGTTATATGTATAAGCACTTGAATATCTATAGATATCCCACCCATAAATGCTTATGCTTTATAGAAATATCAATCAGAAACAATTTTTTTGAGCTACTGAATCTAATGAAAGCTATAGATTCTTTTACCAGGAAAATCAAATTGCTCATATGCTTGTGTTATGAAATTCAAATTTCTACTGATTTAGAGTTCATGAAGCCAAGATTCAAGTTTAAGGTCTACAGCAGTGGAATTTTTAACTATAAGCAACAACTGAATAATGATATTCAAGAAAACCTGAGGAAGTATATGATATTCACGTATTAAAGCAAGCAAATGACTTTTCAAATCAAATCTAATGGGTCAGCCTATTTCTGATTTTACCCTGGCTGAAGTCATAAATACAGGGAGATATCAGAAAAATTTTAAATTATGTTAGTTAAATCAGAAAAAATAAACACAAAGACATTTTTGAAATTTAATATTATACCGGTTTTAGACGAATAAAGTTATTTATCTAATCCAGTGTGGTTTGCTAATACATCTTATTAGTACACTCACAGAAATAAACCACATATGGAGCTATTTAGTTACTTTTCATCTACAACTAACTGTTGCATCTATTTTAAATCAGTTCACTGAAATCATGTATCACCCAGTCCCTTAAACTTAGAGAAAAGTGATTAATTTTGTTGGGTAATTAAATGAGAACAATGTCCATTAAAAAAATACAACTATACACAAATACTAACTTTGAAAACAACTAAAGTAAAAATTTTTATTATTTTTAATAGAATTCTTTTTTTTTTTTTTTTTAGAATTCTATCTTTAATCTCAAGGCTGTAGATAAGAAATTGTGAGTGCAACTTTTTTGCCTAGGCCATACCTGGAGTCACCTTTGTCTGTGAATGCTTTGCCTAACACATAGCCTTGGTCTGTAAATCCATCGTTTCCTAAAATTTGCAGTTGCCCACATATTATGCTATAATGGCGGCATGCCAACTCACATCTTTACCACACCCCTACTTCCTTTATTCATTGCTACACCTCAAACTCCACAACTTCTCACAAGTTGCAGCATATCAGAATGGGGAAGGGGGAGGTGATGTGAATGGTATGATAGGCCTCTGAACAGCAAGCTTTTGTGAAATTGATTTACTGAGTTATGACTATCTTTCTGGTTTGCAAATTTTTCTTGAAGAAGTTTAAATGGCACAGAATACAATACAGTAGTAGAAGAAGAAACATCAGAATGCATCATACATTGTTAAGGGTATTTCTTCAGAAATATATGTACGTGTGTGTGTGTGTCTGTCTGTTTATGGTCAGGGTTTTGATGTAAAATCTATTTTAAGATGTAAGTCTCTGTTTAAAAACCACTTTAAACCTTTAAGTTGGAAACCTATGCTGCAGTTCCAGCACGATCCTTGGATGTTATACAACTTCTGTTTTCTTTCTCTGAGTTTTACCTCATATCTGCCTCACAATCACATTATAAATTAAAGTACTATCCTGTGATATAAAATCAATATATGAAACTCTGTTGTACTTCTATACATGCATAGAAGTATCTCTTTCTATCAGAAAGAGAAAGTATTCTATGTTCATGGATTAGAATTAATAGTTGTTAAAATGTCCATACACCCAAAGCAATCTACAGATTTGATGCAATCCCTATCATGATTCCAATGGCATCTTTCACAGAAACGGAACAAACAATTTTAAAATTTATACAGAACCATAAAAGATACCAAGTACCCAAAGCAATCTTTAGAAAGAAGACCAAAGCTGGAAGCATCATCCTCTCTGACTTCAACTGTATTACAAACACAAAGCAATCAAAACAATATGGTAGGAGCATAAAAAAAGACACACAGATCAATGGAACACAATAGAGAAGCCAGACAGAAAAAGAGAAATACCATGTGATCTCACTTATATGCAGAATCGAAAAGAACTAAACAAAAATACCAAGTTCAAGGATACAGAGAACAGACTGATTGCCTGAGACAGAGGGTAGGAGTGGGCAAAATGGGTGAAGGAGGTCAAAAGGTACAAATTTCATTATAAAATAATGACATTATTCATTATAAAAATAAATAAGTCATGGGGATATACTATACAGCATGGTGACTGTAGTTAATAATACTACACTGTCTGTTTGAAAGTAGCTAGGAGAATGATCTTGAAAGTTCTTATGAGAAGAAAGAAAATATTTTGTTAAGTATGTATGGTGACAGAAGTTAACTTATTGCAGTGATCATTTCACAATTTTGCAACTGAAATTAATATAATGTTATGTCATTTATACCTTAATAAAGATGATGTCCTGTGAGAACTATTTCATATATCTAAGAAAATGTTACTTTCCTTATATAATGCAAAAGCAAAAAACAAAGCTGAAAACGAGACCTAAAAACTAAAAACAAAATCTAATAATCCATTATTACTTAAAATAAAAACTCAAAAAAAATAAAATAACAACTCATGTCTATCTACTCATGTTCACATAAATCATTCTGGTTGCACATGTTCATTCCATAAACAGTCCACTCATACCACATTTTGAACTTACTTTCCAACATTTTAAGTTTCTGCATCTTTCAGGTCCCATGTTTCTGGTTTGACAATTGATTGTTAATTGCCTCCATCCTCTGAGGAGCATTATAAATTATACTGGGAAAAAGTCTTTCCCTGCACATCTCACAATTTTGGATTGTTTGCCTGGGTTTTCCATTCTCTGTGATTGTCCACTGCTACCAATTTCCCTTGAAGACATTTAACTTTCTATCTTACCTGTACCTCCTAACTCTCATCTCATTCTTAGAAATAAATGTTTTATTTTTAACAGATTCCTATAGCACTGTTCGAGTTACAGTACTTTTCTCTGACAGCTCTGGAGAGATTGAAGCCTATCTTTCAAACACACCACCTACAAAATTCAATCAAAGCTACCATGACCACTGAAATGTATTTTCAAAGTCTACAGACAAATGTGGCTCAAGTTTATTCATTTGGCCCACCTAAATTAAAATAATCAGTCTGGAAGGCTTTACAAGTTTGCACTTCAGGATGAAGATTCAGAAGTCTGTTTTGCTTAATATCTTTGGAAAATGATTTTTTGAATATAGAATTCATTTGAAAGACAATTTATTTTTTCTGCCCAGTTATTTACTTTAAGCACTGAATTGTAATTTTGACATTTAGGATTTACTTTAACATAAGTTAATATTAAAAACAACAGTGTTACACAAAAAATGGTTAGAGTGGGTATGATGCTTAATGAAGTCTGTGTCAAAGTATATTTTAAATAATGAACTTAATAATTCAATGGCAACTCTATCTTCTAATTGCCTAATCCAAAATCTATGGAGTCATCTTGACTCCTTATTTCCGCTCATACTCATGTGTAATATATCATGAAATCCTTTTGGTTCTCTTTCAAAATATACTCGGGTTCCAACCACCTCCATCTCCATCTTATCTCATTATTATCACTCTGGTAAACTCTATCATTATTTCTCAACAGGATTACTGCCAAAACCCCATCTCTTCTCTACTTCCACCCTTACCTTCCTGTAGTCTGTTCTCAACACAGTAAGCATTGTGATCCTCTAAAACCTCAAACAGATCATATCACTCTTCCACTCAAAACCCTGCAAGAACTACGCACTTCACTCAGAACAAAGCCTGGATCCTTATAATGACCTACATTTTCTGGCTCCTTGTAAGTTCTCTAACTTCCTCTTCCATTGCTATCATTTTCGTTCACTTCACTCTGAGTACACTTGCCTTTTTGCTGTTCTTCAAACCCACCAGGCATGAGCCAGCCTCAGGGCCTTTGAACTAGCTGTTGCCTCTTCTGGAATGCTCTAGATATCTCCACAACTAACCCATCTTCTTCACCTCCTTAATGAGGTCTACCTACTCTGACTACATAGAAACTACTGTAACCTTCCCTCTCCTCCCCAATTGGGTCTTGCTTCTCCTTTTTTCATACCTATTTGTCACCTTCTAGCATATTAAATATTTATTATGTTAGACATTTATTGTCTGTTCCCTTCTGCAAGAACATAAGGTCTGTAAGACACGGGATCTTTGTCTCTTTGTTCAGAAGGGAAATTTATACTTATGTCATAGTTAGGTAAGAAGATTCCCTATATATTCCAGAGGTATGGGAATTAACATCAGTATATTGGTTCCAAATCTTTAAAAAATGTGCTTTCTCATCTTGATACCATCAGTTTCTGGATAGAAATTTCCATATCAAATTACTTTATAAAACTTGTTTAGTTTTATTAGGCATATGATAAGGAACAATAATACATCCATGGCCATTTTGCAGATGTGGGGTAGGAATGGGCAGACCAAGACTCAAAGCTTTCCAAGTCCCTTAGAGAAAAGAAAGCACTGCCTAAGCAGGCTTTTCTTGCTTTGTCGTAAATAATCCTAAAACAGATGGCCAAAAGCTAAATACTAAGTCTGCTGCCATGGAAACTACTATCACAGCAGTCCATTCTAGAGCCCTACCTATAAGATAAATGTTTGTCTCCCTATTGTTAGTTACAATCTGAACCTACTAAAACTTTCACTCAAAGTCCTACTAGAAGGTATGATACACATACCAGCCTCACAAAAATTTCTGGGAGAGATTAGTTGATACACAATATCACCTTAAATACAGTCAAAATCCAGCAACATATAGGGAAAGGGTTTTACATAATTGGCCACGTTCTCACTGCATTCAAGTTCTGTCTGTATTATATATAAATCCATGTACCTTACCTTAATATTGCAAGCCTGCTCCATCAATCTTCTGGCATTTTCCTCTGCCCTGTATCTCTTTGGAAGCTGAACTCTGAAAAACTTTAAAGCACCTTCAAAATCAGCCTGCAGAAGATCTTCCTTTGAGGTCTGCAAAATAATCCCAAGAATCATCATTAAATTTTAGCCTGCATTCAGGACAAATAATTTGAAAAAAAGAGTTTCTATTTTCCCGAATGCATGTTTGTAGCAAAGATGTAGCTTAGTTCCACAAGTTTTTAGGAAGAGATTTTTCTAACATCTTTACCATAAGCTGAAATAAATCACCATAAATCCTAGATACAGTATAAGAATCAATTAAGAGGCTAACATATTTAATTTACATAACCTGAAGATTAGAATGGCAGATCCCAGCAAAGTTAACCAAGTTACAGCTCTGAGGAAAGAAAAATGCCAGAAAAGCAAAAAATTTTAACTCTGGGTTTAATCTATGACTTTAGCTTGCTGGGTGGGTATTTTAAGGGTATTATTAGAACCCCAGTTGAAGCCACAATGTAATCAAAGCATATTAGAGTTACATAATGAACACCAAATAGGAATAGGGCTTTTCAACTAATGATAACAGTGGTTCAAAAAAGTAAGAAATGGATCCCCCCACCTTAAAGAATGCTATGAAAAAATAAATGAAGCAAATCACTTAACTAGTGAACAGCTGATGAAAACTACTGTTTGCAAAATTTACTTCTTCAAGAAATAACCACTTAGAAATAAATATATGCATGCATAGAAAAAAGACTGAAAGGAAATAAAAAGTTTCTCTGGATAGTGGGATAGTGGGGGGGGTTCTCTTATATTTTGCTGCATTGTCTGCAGTAAAGATTTTGTAATAAGAAAGACAATAAGGGGCGCCTGGCTGGCTCAGTGGGGAGAGCCTGTGTGTCTTGATCTTGGGGTTGTGAGTTCAAGCCCCAGGTTGAGTGTGGAGCCTACTTAAAAAAAAAAAAAGAAAGAAAAGAAACAAAAAGTAAGTATTTTTAATCAACAAATATAAGCAGTTTTTGGCAAACACCGTGATACAAATTACAGGTTAAGCAGACTGAGTACACAGAAGTAAGCCAAAGAAAAATGAGATATGTTTTTTAAGAGTCAGAAATTATCAAAAACTTCAGGAATAAAATGAAAAAACAAAACAAGCCAGGATGGCTAGAAATCATAGAACTATGTGCTAATTCAAAAATACTTTATTTAAACTCAAATGTAGAGCTGATTAACCTTAAAAGGCTGTACTGAAAGAGTATAAGGAAGTCAGAGAAATTCCTGATCTTAACTGGCCTGAGTTGTCTTCACGACCCTGGTCCCCAAACTACTGGACATGTCATCTTAGGTGAGCGCCTGCAGTAACCCACTAACTGGTCTCCCCGTTTCCACCTTTGCTCCCCACAGTACGCTCTCCTTATTGCAGTCAGGTGATACCCTTTCACATCATGTGGTTCTTCTGGGTAAAGCCCTCCAGTGGATCCTACTGTGCTCAGAGTAAAATCCGAAACTGTTACCATTGCCCACAAGACCCTCACAATCTGGAGCCCCTGCCTGCCCCTCCAACTTCATCTTGAACCACATCTCCTGCTGTTCCAGCTCCAGGCACACTGGCCTTGTTTCTGTTTTTTGCACACATTGAGTTCATTCCTGGCAGAAGGCAGCTGCCCCTGCTGCCCCTTCTGCTGAGACAGTCTTCTCCCAAATCTTCATGAGCATAGCCACTTGTTGTCATTAAGATTTTAGCTCAAATGTAAGATCTGAGTGAGGGCTTTTCTGAGCACTTAAATTCTCCCCCACCCCCAGCCCATCAAGTCATTTTCCACCAACTCATTTTCCCGTTTTACATCTGTTTCCTCCTAAGGAAAGGGGCCTTGTCTATCTTGTCTGTTGCTGTATCCACAGTGACAAGGCTAATAACCAGAATATAGGAGGTACTCAATTAAAATTTACTGAATGAATTTTACTTTCATCTCCCCTCCCTTTTAAACAGAAATATGTAAAATAAAAATAATGTATTAATTCATATGCCAGCATTTCCACAGGGGCACCAGGTTGCCTCAGCTTTAGATCCATAAATTAGTAATCAGAAAGTAGAGCTAGGCTAATAGCAGCAGTGGAAAAACAAGCCTCAGTATATCTCACAATGATTTCCTCCTCATGGATACTTAGACACGATGGTGATAAGTGGTAGAGAGAATGTATGGCATGGACAGAGTTCTATCAACTCACCTTAACTTAGTTGGAAAAGACAGTTATGAAAAACTTCAGCCTAAAAGAGGGCTTTTCTGCCCAAAATAGCAACTGCTGAATTACTGGGAAAGCATCCAGCTACCAGATATACCAGATAACTATATCCCCTATCTTCTTTTCTCACCTGTGATACTGGGTTTGATGATCAGCTCCCTACTAACTGTGGGGAAAACTCAAGGCACCCTGCTTATGGAATTTGTGGGGAAGCAGGATGAGCAGCTATCCTCCCTACTCCAAAGCCTCTGAGGGCACCACTTCTATTTTCAACTAAGCTCTAGTGACTTGGTAACAGATGTCTCAAAATGGTGGTATAGTTCCTTGCCTGAAGGCAGTAGCATGACTGGTAGTCATGCTAATTAGCTAATTTTCTAATACTGCCCAAGGCCTGATTTCAAGTCTAGATTCTGAGTTGATGCAAAAGCAGAAAGGTAAAGATTAAAGGTGAGGAATCATATAGCCTGTGACATGTGACCTGTGGTCAGTTCAGGAACAGCCACTTAAAAAAGATGCGGTTTGAAGGAGGCTATATGCTCAGGAGAGGTGCAGCAAGAAGCTCCCCACCTGGGTGGGGCTGAAGTTCAACTTGGGTTGGTCTCTGGAAACCAGAATTCAGAGTGCTCTGTGACTGTCCTTTCCAAGACACTGCTTGTGTTAATGATGCTTCAGATCCCATGGCCAACTCAGTTATGCCCTGTACGACAGGAGCTCTTAACAATCACAGAGCAGAAGGACTCAGGTAGACACATATGTGGAAACTGCATGTTATCTGATCCCCTAATTTCAGACTTTAGAAAGTAGTTGGCGGGCAGCCTGGGTGGCTCAGTGATTTAGCGCCGCCTTCAGCCCAGGGCCTGATCCTGGAGACCTGGGATGGAGTCCCACGTCGGGTGCCCTGCATGGAGCCTGCTTCTCCCTCTGCCTGTGCCTCTCTCTCTCTCTCTCTCTCTCGAATAAATAAATAAAATCTTTTAAAAAAAAGTAGCTGGCAATTAAAGATACTCAAATAAGGCTGCAAAGGATGAAGTAAATTCATTCTGATCCCAACTTTAGCTAACTTGAGGTGTTGCCTATATCTCTACTGTTCTACCTCAAAAAGGGAGTATCTTCAACCTCAAGTATTAGAGAAGGAAATAAGTCATATGTACACCTTGTGAACCCCAAAACAAACATAAGGGATGACAATTTGGAAAGTTGTCTCTGTGCTGTTCGAGTATCCTCAAGTACTGATATTTTAGTAGTTACAAATAATACCTGCTCTCACTGACATTTTTAATTATATAAAACAAGCAATCTTAAGAATTTATATTCCTGTCAATGGATTGAAATAAAGCTAATTTCATTGTGAATTAGAAAAAAATACACCAGAAGACAATGCCATGGGCCAAAAAAACATGCCAATAAGCAAAAAGTACATTAACAAAAACTTTGTTTGCCATTGGTCCAGAAGATAATCTACAGTCCTACCTTAATTCTGATGGGTTTTTTCCTCCAATTTTCTATCTTTAAAAGACTTCCATAGTCATTAAGTATCATTTCCATATACCTTCTTATGCCATAGTGATCACAAATTTATAGGGATAACTCTCCATTTCTCATAACTGTATCTGAGAGGTTTATCTTCTACAATTGAGGGATAGATGCCTCTTGGTCTGCAAAAATCTGGATGCTTCACTAAGAATTTATCAGAAAGTTGTTGGGTTTTTTAAATATGTTGTAAAAATCATAATTTGTATATATATGTGTGTCTGCATATCTACATAATGAGAGTCATACATTTTTTATTGATTATATATTCACTTTCTCCAAAATTGAAAATATTTTTTAAAAGCCTAAAAGATTTCACTACCCAGAGATAAACATAATTAACATTTTGTTACATTGCTTATCATTTTTTCCCTATCCCCACACACAAATATTTAAGAAAATTTGGATCATATTGTACATATCAGCTTGTTAAATATATATGCTTCACAACTATGAAGCATTAATATAATAGTATTAGTCCAAAATATAAGTAGCAGTGCTTTCTATGAAACTAAAACATGACTTCACACAGTTTATTAATAAACTGACTATGGAGATGTAAACTTATTTAATGGTTGTAATTAAGTTTACAATTGTATGTATAAGTGCTACCTGTCTACACTGAACACATGATCTCTTGTGATAAGACCCAAGCTTTAAAAATGCACCCCAATAGGCAGACTAACATTTCAAGAACCACACCAAGTACCCAAAGGAGGAGAGACCAGCTTCCGGCTATCCTTATCCATCTCACTACAACACAACTCGGTCAGGCTAAAAGACCTCACTTAATTCTTCAACTGGGAAGTTCTTAAGAGTTTTTCTATATTGCCTCCAGAATGATCATGAGGAAAGAGTATCATAATGAAAATGCAATTACTTTCCTGACATTATTTGCTAAGTAATATTAGCCAGAAGGTAACACAGACAAGAGTAGGGAAATTTGAATAAGCAAAGACATGTTTTCTTCCCTTGCAAAATAGAGAACTCTATCAGATTTTATTTTTTTCTATCAGCTTTTAAATAAGAATAAATGATAACTTTTAAAAATTAGTGGTTCCATTAACACTCATTTTTTGCTCCCCAAACTTGCTGTCAAATCATTTTAAGTGAACATGTTATCAATTACACCTCCAAAGGGAACATTACTTTTTACTTCATTTGAATAAAATTGTATATAAAGATTACTTGGACAATTAAAAACATTTCAACCAGTCCTCCTTCTGCTTCCTTTCAAGTAGGTAAAGAGAAATATCCAGAAGGAAAAGGTAAGTAGAATTTTTTTAAAGTAGGATGTTAATTTAGGTATCCTTCTCACTTCCCCAGTAAAATGAATT